ACAGCACTCTGTGAACAGCCAGCTTCTTTGGCAATTGCTTTTGCTTTCGCCTAGAAACACACATCTTCTCCCTGACATGGCTGCTTCAACACTAACTGCGTTTACTGAAACCACGCCTTCTTTCTTTGCGTGAACATTTGGGCGGCATTATGCTAATATTTCCACATAGTGAGGTAGATATGTGGGGGCGTGTTAGAACGAGCCGTTTTAGGGGGGCGTGGCAGAGTCTTAACTTTGATAAAGAATATCTCTTTGGTTTTGAGACTTTAGTCTTTGCAACTTCAGGGATCTTATCTATGCATCCTTTAAGAAAATTACCAGTAGATCTCATTAGAGTGTAAAACAAAATTAGGCACAATATCAACCAAAACCACCAGAGAGAAAATACAATACTAACAAGAAGAGCTTACTTAGTGTCCTATTCAGCCAGTGTGCTTGATTAACCTTTACTTCATAAGATCCATCAGGGGTATATCACAAAATACAGAAGGGGGAGACTAATAACTCATAGAAAAAAGAATTTTCGAATTTGATGCCATTCTGCCACCTGTCAAAAAGAGCATGTCAGGTGAATTCAGATATATAGGGCCACTATATTCTATATCCAGTAACAAATATCAGAAACATTTATTTAAAGAGTTATCTTTTAGTTTTTTTAAACAAACACATGCTTGTTAAGTGGACCTATATTTAAATATGTAATGTAGCCATAGAGAGATATGCAGTGGATCAAGTTTGTGTGCCTCTGCTCATTTCCTTAAAAGTGTCCCTACTCATTGCTTAAAAATGTTAAATGGCAAAGCAGGAGATTAGAAATGCTCACCCATCTCACTGCAGCACCAGTGTATCCTTGCCTTTGGTGTCGGTATGTACTGTAATATTTTTAGAGCTGACTTTGGGCTCTTACATTTTATTCTTTATTATTTGTTGAGTATCTAATAGTACATGTTTACTTACTACAAGGAAGGTGTTATGTATCATGTTTCTTACATTCTTGCATTATTGTCTCTTCATTGATAATAGCTTGATCTTTGACTTGTACTTTGACTTGTAATGCCATTTATTATATTATACAGTATAAGCTGTTATAAAAAAAGTATCATGTAGTTCTTGTTCATGCAGAGAGCTTGATAATTCATCATCTCATCCTCTTCATCATGCTGCTCCTTCTTCATGTGCTGATGCTGCCATTTCTCTTTGGTGGTTCAGTTAAAGTTGTGCAGGATTTTGAGAATTAAATATTACTTAATCTAAAATTCTGTTAAACATTTTACACTCTACATCATTATTTCAACTAAAAGTCTTGAAATAGTACACAGTGACATACCATAACAATGCTGGAGTAGTGCATTTAATTGCTTCTGTAAAGTGCTTAAATGCACATTGACGTTTAAGTCTTGACAAGAAACTTGAAAATTAACAAATAAATCAAAATGACACTACTTAATTTAGAAAACCACACATGTTAGCAGTTAATTTGATAAACAGAGTATTAAACACAGAGAAATAGATAAATGTTTACTAAGTAAACAAGAGATTGCTAATCTAGCATTTGTGTGTAACAGGAAAAACTGAAAGATAAATGCTGAATGTGAACATGGATGTCCATTTGTTTGTTTTTTTCTTATATCCAGTATTCTCAAGTGTATCTTTTTTTCTTATGTTTAATTATATTGCAGAATGATGATAATAATAATAAAGAACCAGACATGGCATGTGAGGGGACTGGGAATATTCAAATTCGTGGAGGCCGTCAAGCTCTTAATGGAGACTATTATGACAGAGATCATCTGGCACCAGTCTACCTGGCAAACACACAGAGCTGTGCTGATGCCACCTTCACTCTGACCAATGCTGCTCCACAAAAGTGTGTTATGGAGGGATGTAGAAAAATAGATGGCACAATATCTGGGATTGAAATGTAAGTTAAAATATTTACATTGTAACAAACAGAGTGAACGTGCCTAGTCACTTCTGGACTGCATACTGCTGCTTAGACCAGAATAATAGATGTTCAGACTCAGGAGGAGTCATTGCAACCAATAACAATAACTCCAGTATAGGGAAATGAATGTGGCTGCTTTAGAGGCAGAGTTGGGAAACCTTTATGGAAGAACATTTCAGTTGTTTCAATAATAATAACAAAAGCAGACAGGGGTTGCTTCAAAATAAATCCTGAGTGATTACACTTTGCAAACATTTTTGAGCCTATTTTGAGTGATTTTTAAAAAAAATGCAGATTATTTTAATTTCATTTTAATTCTAATCACTATATCTCCTGTCAGAATTTTGGGGGAATCTATATTGGGCGATATTATGTTGTATTTCTTAATCAAATGACAAATTAGAATGACAATTATCTGTAAAATAATAATGAATATGATACAGATTTTACTGAAACTTTTATCATTATAATGTCTCAATTAACCTCTAATACGCCTAATAAAAATCATCAATACTGCAAACCGTGTACTGGATACTTCTAGAAAAACGTATGTGCATTTGCACCTGATTACTCAAAATAATTGAACATACCAAGATTTTGTGATCTTGTATGGTACAATAACAGTATCAAACAATCAGAAGGTACCAAGCTGTCAGTCACAATGGGGCTCTGATATTTTAACCAGTGTCAATGGAGGAAAACAAACAATAACAAAAAGTTGTGAAAAGTTTGAGTTTAGTTTATTTGAAGAAATCATTGAAGATTTCATTATAATGGATTGAATTGTAATGGATTGAGCTCTTGACTCTGAACAGGTCATGGGCATATTGCAATTACTAAAAAATCGGCAAACTTCAACAAAACCTACAAGCATAGGAGTTCTTAAAATGACAAGCTCCAATCTTTATCTAGCTTTTTATTTTGATGGGGTCTCCACGACTATGGATTTTGGACTCTGAACTGGTCATGAACATATAGCCTACTCCAATTGCTAAACAACCTGCAAACTTCAACAAAACCTACAAGCGACACCCTCCAATCTTTTTCTACCCTTTTCACACTTTTATTGACAGAAACGGTGTAAAAAGGACAGTAAATGACGGGATGACGAGGGGAAATGGCTCCACAACTCGTCCCCAACACTAGCACTGCAGCTTCCCAGGCTGCTACAATAATTACTGTATTTGGCAAAGTTTGTAAGATCCGTGGAGTCAAATCTTAGACTCTTAAGCCCCGTTCACACCAAGAACGATAACTATAAGGATAACGATATTAGCGTCCACACCAGCGAACGATATCGTCTGTTTATTCTAAGCGCACGCTCGTCTGCCCCTTTAAATTTTCAAGCTCGTTACAGCAGGATGGATTCTGATTGGCTGTCAATTTTTTATCGTTCATCAGCTGGTGAAAAATCGTTTTGAAAGTGATTCCAACGATATCGGTCCTCTGTATCATTATCGTTATAGTTGTGGTGTGAACTATGCTATTCTTTAATATTGAGAACGATTTTTAGAACTACAGTATATTTATAGTTGTGGTGTGGACTCTGCTATTCTTTAATATTGAGAACGATTTTTAGAACTACAGTATATCTTTATCGTTATCTTTATAGTTATCGTGCTTGGTGTGAACGGGCCTTTAGGGGCCATTTACACAGAACATGTTTTTCCATTACACTGCACGTTGTTCTTCTATTTAAACTCACTAGACTGATGTGTTTGACCGTTGCACGTTCTAAAAACTTGGCACTAAAAATAAAAGAACTTTTAAAAACTTTTAAAAAACATGCTTTTCCCCATTCCACTGCCCTCGTCTCACGTTTATCAAAGCAAAAACATGTTCTGTGTGAACTGTAAATCCTTCCACTTACAGATTTACCTGGCCATCACGTCAAAAAGCAAACAGGATATAGTCAATTTAACATATCAGTCAAACGACACCTTCCTGTCTCAATGGGTGCTTTTTGGCCAGAATAAGATGTTTTGCGAATAATGAAACTGTTCGTTACCTAACCTTGGTTTAAACAGGTGAAAGTGGAGGGTCATAATCTAAAACAAGACACCAAGACGATTATAACGACCAGCCATAAAGTAGAACTTTAAAGCATACCTTACAGTAAATTACACATGGTGGCCATACATTTAAACATGACAGGAACAATCTTACATCAATTTATTTAGCAAGGTGATGGTTATTCAGACAGTCTTGGATAATACTCTAATGAATATCTCAACACATTTTATATAAACCAACAAATCTGCATATGTAGCTGCTCACCAGCATATGTTGTGTTTTGGATGCTGGTCCGCACAATTAAATTCTAATATGCTGGTGTCCCAAACTGGGATTTTTAACTTGCTTAACCAGCAGACTTTCCTTGCATAAACCAGATTGGACCAGTATGCAAACTCTGGTCTAAGCTGGTATTTTCAGCAAGGATAGTCTCTGGAAACGTACTTTATCCTTACATTAACAATTATACAAAACAGTGTACATGTGAGAAAGACGCTCAGTGGCCAGACATATAGCTCTGTAATGTGAGTGTGTTGTTGAGTTTCAGTGTGTGAGTAGAATGTGCCTGTGAGGTCAGGCTGTATGTTGAGTAAGACACAGCAGACCCGAGCATCAGTCCCGCCATATATGATACCGTCATGGTGTTCCCTGTAAAAAAGTATTGAAGAAAAATCACAATAAAATTGCAATATATCAGTTGCTTCTCCTAGACAGAAATGGGATTAAATGGTAAGCAAATGGAGAATTTTGCTTAAGTCTACTGCTTCTCAAATTATTCTCATTAGAAATAATCCAATAATAAGAAGCCTCCAACAATTTGCCAACAGAGATTTCGATATCAACTCAAATAGCCTACTGCTCATCAAATGTTTACAAAAAAAAAAAAAAAAAAAAATTTGAGCTATGCTATCCACATTAATTTTATCTCACTGAATTTTTCAGTACTGTGACTCTCTCTTGAAACCAACACGGAAGTGACTTAAACTGCAATTCATAAACTGGCCACTAGAGACTGTCCCATGTTTACAGCCTGGTACAAAAAGTGGTTTTGGTCTATACAGCTAATTTTGCCCTTCATGACAACTGTGAGGGGGGTGAAGTTTTTTATAACTCATCCGTTTAAATTATATTAAGCCTTAAAATGTTGCATAATTAAGGGTGTGGCCATTTGAGTGACAGGTGGATTGCCGCTGCTGTCACCACCATAGAGCTAGGCGGGCGTGGTTTCAGCAACCAGCTCCACCCACGTCCCGCCTCTTTGCCCATTTTCGATTATCCAGGAGTGACAATATGGAGATGACTGGCTCCGCCCACTTTAGGCTTCAAAAATGCTCTTCAAAAATGCTCTTCCATGACACTACGTCTATGTTTTTATACAGTCTATGGTCTGTTTTAGATTAAAGTTAGACTATGTGTAACTGCCCTCTAGCGGTTGAAACCACTGATCTATATTATATGGTTGTGGTGATTGTGACGGAAAATATAGACACAATTACTTAAAATTATTTAAAAAACAAAACAAATAAAGTACAAATAAATTGACCTTATATTTGTATTTCTGGCAGTGTTACCAAAATATTAGGTATTTACTTCTATTCTGAAGACAGGTGGTTTAAACTTTGATAAGCTAAAGAGAGCATCAAATTAAATATTTGTACTAAGAACATTCTGATCATCCCTAAATAATGTGATAAATTTGATGTTTAAAAATTCAAATCTAAAAATTTGAAACTAAACAGATCTTTACTATTACAGTAATTCAACAATTGCATTCACATTTTTTCTCAAAGCGTAACTGATAACACTTACAGCCCTAAATCTCCAGAGAAACAAATGTTTTGTCTAGTTAATTACTTGTGTGTCAGCCATACTCACCTGCCACTTCTCGCTGTTGAAGTGGCACCTTGCCTGCCGCCTGTATCATTGGTACGGAGCCAAGGTATCCGTTACTGATTCCCAGCATCAAAGACAGGCCGCAGGGCCAAGCTGGGTGTGCCAGCAGGGGGTGCTGCACGGGCGACACGCACATCACAAACAGTGGCAGAAAGAGGACTCGCAAACATGAACACACCAGCAGCTGCACACCACCCCACTCATACGGACACGCTGCCAAGATCTAAAGAGAGAAATAAAGAGCTTTGAACATTTGCCATTTTTAAATGATAATATATGCTCATAGATGACATCAAAAGGCTTCATTTCACCTTGCCCACAAAGTCTGCCAAGTTGAACAGAGCCATGGTGAGAATAGGCAGCCATTCTCCCAGTGTATCATTGCGTAACTCTGACTCCAAACCAGGGAACAGACACAGCGTGATGAAATATGTCACCAAAATTGAGAGCATATAGGGCCAGATCATCCGGGCAACAGCACACCTCTGATCCAGCAGTTCTGTAAGAAAGTCATCATATATTATGTCAAAAAAGGTCAGTCCTATAAATGCAGAGTTAATTGAACTTAAAGCAACAGTTCACCAAAAAAAAAAAAAAAAAAAGAAAATTTGCTCACCTTCAGGCCACCCAAGATGTAAATGATTTTTTTTTCTTCATCAGAACAAATATGGAGAAATTTAGCATAACATCACTTGCTCACCAATGGATCCTCTGCAGTGAATGGGTGCCGTCAGAATGAGAGTCCAAACAGCTGATAAACACATCACAGTAAGTAATCCACATGACTATAGTCCATCAATTAATGTCTTGAAAAAGTGGATTATTGTGGTGTTTTTATTTTTAGAAATGCGTGGAAAATTTTTAGAATTGCGTGGAAAAACAGTATGTCCAGTTATAGACAGGCTCTAAAAGCTGCCAGGGCCGAGCATATCCACAAACTTATAGAAAATAACCAAAACAATCCAAGGTTTTTATTTAGCACAGTGGCTAGATTAACAAATAACCAGACGCCACCCGATCTAAATATTCCCTCACAGTTTCTGTACATTTCTGCCATATGTACATTAATTGACAGTCACCACTGATAAGCTACCACTAAATATTGTAGAAACTTAATTTGCTGTAAAGTTGCTTTGCAATGATTTGTATCGTGAAAAGCGCTGTACAAATAAACTTGACTTGACTTGACTTGACTTTTTATCAGCTGTTTGCACTCCCATTCTGTTTGTACCCATTCAG